TATCTTTGTGGAACGGAATTTGTTTTCGTCCGCAGTTGCGTTCGCGCTTTATTACATTTAACTGTCGTATTTGCGCTCAATGGTATTAGCGACTGATAGAACGATGGGTGGTCGCGGCCACCGGTTAAAAGCTCGGCTCATCGAGCGTTTGACGAGCTTATTATGTGCCGCGCGAAATATCGCGGTGTGTTCCAGCAAGAAAAATTCTACATGGAAGCTCGGGGTAGAGAGATGAGGAGATCGATACACGCGACATACCGTCGCATATTTTACATACGTACACTTCGGTAAAACGCCATGGAGAGAACGATTTTGCTGAAGTATCTAAAAAATTTGGCTAATGTATGGGATCTGAATATAATTTCATTGGACCATAATAATAATTATGGATGCTTAAGCGATGATGATATTGTAAAAACTTTTGATGTTTTAGCAATTTGTTTTGCGATATTTTTGTAGAATTATGTTGTTCTACATACAATGAACAACTTTAATATTCGGACAATACAGAATTTTTCTTTTTTGTCTCAGTATAATTTTGTCCATGATGGAAAGAAGAATTTTCGTTGTATATTATATATTATTGGCTATAATCAACAAAATTATAAAATTATTTTTAAATCTTTCTCCGATAAAATTTTTAGATATTTCAACAAAACTATTTCTTCCACCCGGGATTTTCTGTAACTTCTCATTTTTTTCTTTTCCCTTAAATTTCATCAAGCCCCTCGATCTGAATAATTATGCATGCGACTGTTGCAATCTGCACATTACAACCAGACATTGGACCACGCGGATCGAAGCCGTATGTCGAGGCGCAAGTGCCGAGGAGGAGTTCCGCGTAACTTTATATCCTGCGTTTTACTGCAGAGACTCGGTACATTAATCGCGACGACCCTCTTCGTTCCGGCGCGCGGAGGCCCCGCGCGACCCCGGATAGTTCTTATGGCCATTTAAAACCGCTAATTTTAGAAACGCGGCGGATTTTTTTCTGCCACGCCCTGCGACCGCGAGCGCGCAGAGGATAAGCCCGCTGCGAACAGGCATGCGAATATGCCGCGTCGGCGGACGGGATTTAATAGAATCGGCTTTAATCCAACGCGTCTCGGCATTGGCGTGCGCGGCACGACGCCTATACCTGTCAATAAACCGCGGAATAGAATCATTGTTCTGTACTTCGACTCGTTTCGCTTCAATTCGTCCTTCGGCATGGGGAAGTGCGGGACGGCCGTTCACGGTTATCCCGGCAAATGATGCATAAGTCACGTGTATTCCACGTATTTTACGCCCTCCCCTCTCTTCCCCCTTCTCCCTCTTCATCCTCCATCCTCTGTTCTGCTCGTTGCTCATCACGTTACTGGACAAAGCGGATAATGCGCGCTTTTCGAGCCCGGCGATTTATTACGTATCGATACATTAGGTGTAAACCTCGTCTAAACTCGTTACTTTGCCTTCAGCGTTTTCGTCCGTCATTCGTAGCGATTAAATCATTTCATAACGATTTAATTCCCGCGTCGCCGGGCCCGTGAAATTCGATTGTTCGCGGGTATGCGATAACGCGAGCGATCGTCGTCGTCGTCGTCGTCGTCGTCGTCGTCGTCGTCGTCGTCGTCGTCGTCGTCGTCGTCGTCGTCGTCGCGTAAATCGTGATGGAATTCCCTCGCTTTCCGCGGGGTGTATCGTTTCCCGACCGCAAACTTCCTTCGTTTGCGTTATCGGTGAGACGCGTGCCTATCATATAGCACAGGCACCAACTGCGACATATCTATAGTGCGGTAAACTCCGGCGAATCGAAACTATACCACGCACGTCGCAAATGATTCGGCCTCTCTGCCTGTCAACAGAAATATCGCGATTTCTTTCCGTTTGCGCTTTGTTTATTTATTTATTTTTTAGATGTAACGTAATATATACACGTGAGAGGAAAAAGCGTATAGCGAGATAGAAAAAAACCGATATGTGCGTCGTGATAAGCGTCCGCGTGGGCATTTCTGATACGTTCGCCAACCTTGAGCGAGATTTCATCGAGTACACGGTGATTCATCACGCGGTGCGCTCGGTGCACCAGGAAATTACGTGGTGTATCGCGTAAATTGATAACAATTTACAGTATATATATATATCTTTACAAGAAGGCGCCATGCGCACCTATCAGTGCAACCGAACTGTGACAGCCCATCGGAAACAGAGTACACTCTCAAGCATTGAGACACATCAACAATTGTACTCGAAAAATAAATAAAGCTGTCGAGCGAAATAAGTGATGTAAAACTGCTCCATCATAGTCTACGTGATTGAAATTTATTAGGGTTTCTTTTTTTACATTTTATTTCGTTTCAATTTGCGTTTTTCTAAACTTATCGACAATTTTTGTCATTACCGTTCCCGTAATTGATTTACATTGTAGTTGCATTGCCTCTACAAAACCGCGAAATGATACGCCGACACGCAAATTACCGTTTATATGCCGTTTCGGCGAAATTTATCGGCGATTTCCGCCGAAATGCCGTCGAACTTTTCGTCGGGCTCGCCGACGGTAAATATTTCCCGATGCCGATGAGTAACGTCGCCGCGACGCCGTCGCGATCGCATCGCGTGCGACGCCAGGCATCGGTCTAGGCGTCGCGGCGCCTTCGTCCCTTGTCCTACCCTCCCTTGTCAGTCGGGGTCGTAGGGACCCCGGCAAAGGTAAACTACACGTGTACTTTACGCGAGTCGCGAGCGAGGCTCTTCGCGTTGCCATGTGAAACGGTTTCTATTTCAGCCCTCCCGATGCCTCAAGCGCGGCACGCGCGCGCGCGCACGATATAAACGAGTAGGATTTTACGATCAAATCCTCTCGGGACTATTCGCTGGAAACGAGCATATCTACGTTCGTGGGACTGAGATCAGAACGGAATCCTTAACTGCGACATCAGGATAATAATTTTCCCATAGAATAGCACTATTCGCTACGTCACTTTAATGACGCCATTACCGATGGTTAATGGTAGCGAATAACGCGCGTGTATCGAGTCAAAATAATAATAATAATTTTTGATGATTTGTCCCCGAGTGTAATGTATTTCGCGGCTCGAAATAAGATCTTTTCGTCGAATAAATTGCGCTCGCGCTGCGCGCGCGTACGCCAATCGCAGCGGTTACTAACGGAATACCTTTTGTTTTTTCTCCAGCGGATTGAACTTCCAGGATTTGATGGCCAGGCAGGGCGCGATCGACTCGCCTCCGAAGACCCCGTTCATCATGGGCTCGGAGTGCGCGGGCGACATCGAGCAGGTCGGCGAGGGAGTTGAGAATTTCAAAGTGAGTACATAAGCACGAAACTTTTAATGAATCTGATTACGAGTGCGCAAACTTAAATTGTAAACAAGTTTGCTCTTTTAAGTTCTATGTGTATTTGGAATTTCATTATTAGGTAAAAATAGAAACGTGATTACGAAGGAGTCGCCGCTGCATCGCGAACTGTCACTTCCTCTGTTCCCTTCGTTTCGAGGAAGATTAATGGCCGGGCCGTAAATAGCGTCGAATGTTATTGGTAATATCGAAATGCACGCGAGCGGAAATGTAGATTTGCTTACGTCGGAAACTTCGCCTCGCAGTTCGCCTCGGAAGTAACGGAAGTAACTAAATTACGAGATGCAATCTCTCCCTCCTTTATATCGGCGAAGTAAAATTTTCCTCCGTGGATTCGATGGGGATCTGCGAAGGTACTGTCTGGTGAACTCGAGCGCTAACTAAAGCGCTAATTCGATTCAGTCGCACGATGGGGGCCGCCTTTTGCGTGTCAAAATAGTCCTGTATCGATTTTCAGCTTTGACGTCACGTTCGGGCTCGATCCGCTGAATTATTTTGAAAGCACTCGAAACCGGACCGGACCGCGGCGCCGTAAATAAAATGAGAGGCTACTTTCCCCTCGCGGTCATTTCACTTATTAAACGTCTTTATGTCTCGGGAGAGGAAAAAAAAAGAATGCAGAATATCCCCGACATGATGGAGCGCCATCGAGGCTGTATTAATGGCCGTTTCGTAAATAACGTCGAATATCACCCAAGGCGGCGTACTCTCGTTATCATATTTAACGCGCTCGCGTTACGAGAGGACTCGAGCTGGCTTTAAGCCCGTGGAATTTCTTTGCGACGCGTTTTTCGCCGGCTGGCGCCGCCGTATGGAGAAACCTGCGCGCTCAGGGTGGTCTATTTTCGCAACTCGCGAAAGTCTTTACGGGGTCAGAAGGAGCCGAGCGAGCTTCTCGAAGCGTTTAGGGTCAGGGTATCCGGCCAGCACGTGTAGAACGAGCCGCCTTGCCATAGAGAAAAATAGATGGGAGAGAAACATCGCCTTTCGAGCACGCGGATCGGAAGTGACTTGTCCCTCTCTCACCCCGTCTTGCCAACACGGATACGTTAGGTCTAATTCAATAAGATGGCTTTGAAAAGTGTGCGAAGTGTAATATCGCTGAACTCCTTATTTAACGACGATCCGGTAAATACACGAGGCGTTTTACGGTATAGTTCTGAAAATATCGCATATATACTTATCACGGAAAAGAAAATATTTTCTCCACCGATGATGTCAATCTCGGTCTATCTCGGGAGAAGCATTAGATAATGATCTAGATAGTTGCGATACAAATGTACCCCTGTGTTTGGATACGCACGATAGAGGGATGATCCTTTTCTTTTTCTCTTTTAACAGGTAGGCGATAGAGTGGTCGCCCTTCCCGATCACAAAGCGTGGGCGGAGCTGGTCGCCGTGCCGGCGACGTCCGTTTTCGCGCTACCGCCCGGGATGAGCTACCTCGACGCGGCCGCCATCACCATGAACTACACCGTGGCTTACATCCTGCTTTTCGAGCTGGCCCATCTCACACCCGGCAAGAGCCTGCTGCTCCACAGCGCCGGCGGCGGTGTGGTGAGTCGACAGAGGAGGATCCTCCTTTTACATTAGTATTTTCGTCGGAGGAGCGTCGGAGTATCGCGCTCTCGCGAAAGATGCTGGGAGGAAGAGAGATGATGAATTGGACTTTTTAATTACACTCCCGTGCCCTCGCTCGCGTATTTTTCTTTATCGCGACTCGTCTGAAGACAACGATACGCTTACGAATGTATCGTAATTTTTATGTTCGATTATACGCGATGCGGTGTCTCTTTTTTTTTTATTCGCTTCTCTTCCTCCTTCGTTGTAAATAATGCGAGAAGGGGAATGTTGTATCTTTCAATATTAAAGATAGTGTCATTATACGCTGGATTGTACGCAATGTATTCGATTTTTTAGTCGTATTCTCTCCACAGCTGCAATCATTATCATAAATGATTCCAGCTTGTCTCGATATACGCTAAAGGATTTTATAATTATCACGTTCAATCGTGCATGATGGCTCGGGCGTTTTAACAACGTACGCGTATATGTAAAAGCCGTTCCTTTACCAGATGTTGAACGCACGATGTTATTATCCTCACGTATATCAATTAATATTCTATTGTGCATGTGATTGTATTAAGTTTCATGGCACAACGCTCGGCACGATAATGATTTTGAATTCTGCGGCGGGTTCATCGTTAAAGCGACAGGATGTAGACGGGCGCCTTTTAGCGCGCAAAAATGTTTCGCGCCGACAATAACGCGGCGCTGCGAAAAGGGCGCTTTCGCGGAGTTTAGACAGCTTTATCGTGGTATCACGTGTATAAGCGAGTTAATGTCTTGCGCAAAGATGTTCCGCTCGTAAACGCGAACGGTCGGGCGTCTTCGTGACGTGTATACGTTACTCGGAACAGAACAAATCCGATAAGTAGCGACGTTACGACCAAACCGCGGCATCTAAATAGCTAGAGAGGAGAGCGTCGTTAACATTATTGCTTATACATTGCCTTGGGCCGTTTTACGAGAAACGGGCATGCCGGTGTGTGCGACGTTCCTCGTAGTGTTTTTTCCTTAAATTCGTTACGCTACGTTTTAGCACACGAGAATAACGGGAGTTTGATTCCTGACGACGCGCGGACGTCAATTTACCGTAAGGGATTGTCGAAGAGTAGTATCTAAGTAAGATTTTATACGATAAATATTTGTGCGTTCCTTCCTCTGCCGTGTGATTACTGAAATAAAATCGTCTTCCTCGCGAGATCTCGAAATAAAATTTGCCGAGATTCGTTTACTTCACCCGCGGAGATCGGTCTGAATCCTACGCCCACGGCTTAAATATCGCACGGGGATGCGAAATTTCATGAGAGAGCAACGAACGATGGTTGCTCTCACGATGACGACAACGGAGTAGCGAAGAGAATTGAAAAGGTTAAAGTACCAAGGGGTATTCCGGATTCTTGGCCACGCGGGGTGGTTTCTCTCTCTCTCTCTCTCTCTCTTTCCTTTTCGTCTCGTCGAACGGAGAGAAGGAGAGAAGCGGAAGAAGAAGACAAGAAGAAGAAGGTAGAACCGTCGGGATCAATACGGCTCAACAGGTTACACCCGAAGCCAACGGCAAGCCACCCCCGCCAGCCGATTTCCCTTCCCTGTAACCTCTCCTCCCCGACGGTTGAGACGAGAAAGGCGAATCTACCGAGGGATGCCGGTGCGCGAATCGTACCGTGGGTGTGAGGGTTGCCAGGCAACCTTTCGCTCTCTCATCGACCACCGTCATGGACCGCACCCGTCTGAGACCATACCACCACCGTCGCCGCCGCTACCATCACCATCACCGGCATGCTACTACCACGTGGCGCGGCATTAAGCTGCTTTCACATCGCTTCGTCACGGCGTGCCACGTGTACGCCCGGCGACAATCCGATCGGTACAACGTCCTGCTCTTCTTTCCCCCCCCTCTCTCCCTTCCCCTCCCTTGCGGTTAACGATGTTTTATAGAAGGGCTTAATTACAGCCGACTTCCGCAGCCGACCGGGTCTCTCCGCACCGAGTGCTCCGCTAAAAAAGTTCTTTAAAAAAATGAGAAGAGTGTATTTAGAGAGATATATATATATATGTTCTTTTTATGTCGATGTATCATATAAATCCGTTTAGATCGCTAGGATGCGCTAGGATGGCAAGTTAAATAATTATCAATTAGGTATTTACTAAATTCCTTGCAGCATTTACTTTTTCTTATTTTAACATAAGTAATACACACATAAGGCACCAAGAGTATTTTGAATTTAGAGCCGAGGCAAATCTCTTTGTTTTGTTCTTTTTAATCACCGCTTTACCGCACCGTTTGTAAAAAGGAAAGAGTTCTCGAGGTGTAGAAAAAGCGCAAGAAATACAGCCAAGAGGATATCAAGTCTCGGACGTCGCTCAAGGCAGCTACAATTTTGAAACGTTATTATATATGAAAATGGTTTGACGATTTTTTTCCCATCCAGTTCCAGCAGTTGAAGAGGAATCAATCAAACGATAATTAAGGCCGTTCCTGAAATCAATCCGACCGTAATACGCTTGTGCTATAAATAGCCGTCGAGCGGCAATCATCGGGCATTCTTATGAAACGAGCGCGAACGGCAAACGTTTTTGCTGACATTTCTGTAGCGGCATGCTCGCGTTCGTCTCACCCGCCAGGGGATACATAAAAGCTCTTTCGAATATCTCGGGATGATACTCAGACGTTGTTCATAGAGAGAGGACGATCGAGTCAAGAGATATGACGCGATCTCCGTTCGAGGGACTCCGGTCGAGAGAGGGAAAGTCTTTCCTCTCGACGTGATCAGAAAGCGGTATTTTTCACGAGTCGAGTGTGTCTCTCCCAGAGCTTTTTCGCCGTACGTGACCAGTTTTTCCCGCGGCTAATGCGCGGGAAATCGCGACGCAGGAAGTGCTCACTTTTCGCGCGCGGCCGCGTTTTTCTCGGTCGTGCATCACCCATTGTTGTCGTTGAGCATGAATTATCACTCCTACGTACACGCGGCTCTTATCCTCCTTGACAGGGACTCCTTCTTGGAAGGGACGAAAGGGGGGAAGAAATAAGGAACGATGGACGGACATTGTTCTTTGAATTCGCGGATCGGTTAATATTAATTAAGCCATTGTCTCTACGCGTGGAAAGAAGGTTTTTGTCCTCCAACGTCTCCGATGAAAATGTTGTAAAGCATTTCGCGAAGATCTGCGAAACGTGCAACATCCCCTATGCATTTTTATGTTGTACAATTTATTTTTAAATTAGCAAACATGAAACGAACGGGGATCTTTGAAAAAATATCATCACTGAACGATCGAAATATTCTTTTCGCGATTATTTAAGAATTCTGGATCGTCTATTCTGCTTTGTCTCTTTCTTTCTCTCTTACTTCTTCTTTTTACTCACTTTTTTTTTCTCATTCGTACTCTTTTTCTCGAGCCCGGAACGCTCCAGCTTGGCATCGGCCCGGTCGCCGGGTATCGAATTCTCGACAAGGGGCGGAGAGAAATGGAAAGCAACGAGCGTGATTCTCGGAAATAATGTATGCCGCTTCTGTTGAAAATCTCGAGCGGCACCGTCTTTTTTCTCCTCTCTTAATCCCGTCTCATCCTCTCTCAAGACGTAGCGCTACGAGTGCGCCTGTCCAATTCGGCGCGTAACTGGATTTTCTCGGCAAAAAAATAGCATACGCTGCGAAAAGGGAAGAAGGTAGCGATAAAATATACGTTCTCCGCCGCAGAGTTTATCGAGAAGGAAAAAAAATATTAACAAAAATATGTGTGTTCCTTCTATACAACTTCGACTGACTTTTGCTCAAATTAATTTCGATCACATCGCTTCTCATCGATGCGATTGAAATTAATTCACACCATTTTCAATTCAGGGTCAGGCGGTAGTTCAGCTCGCGAAAACCGTGAAAGACGTGACCATCTTCGGCGTCTGCAGCAAATCCAAGCATGAGGCTCTCAAAAACGCCGGAACCATCGACTACCTTCTGGAACGCGGAGCAGACTATAGCAATGAAGTCAGAAAGTACGTAGACATAATTAATAACTTTCGTTTCCTTCTCGTCGAGGATATAATTAATATCGAGATCTAGAAAGAGAAGATAGAGTGTGTATTTTTCATATGTGTGTTATTTAGAATTTCTCCGGAAGGCGTGGACATCGTTCTAGATTGTCTATGTGGCGAAGAATGTAACAAGGGCTACGCCCTCTTGAAGCCAATGGGCAAGTACATCCTTTATGGATCCAGCAACGTCGTCACTGGGGAAACTAAAAGCTTCTTCTCCGCGGCACGATCAGTACGTAATACTCAGCATTATGGATTAATTCAATTTTTAATTCGTACGTCCTTATTTCTTTGAACGAAATTTATATCCCAATAAAAGTAACTATGTATCTTTCAATGTTTTCTTTATGATTTTAAAATTTTTATGCTTTTTCTCCGATCATTCTATTCTTCGAAGAGACTTTCTCAGAATAATTTTTTCCTTAGGATTATATTTCTGTCATTTCCACGCATATTTTATCATTTTTGTTGTTTAGTGGTGGCAAGTTGATAAGGTCTCACCTATAAAGTTGTTCGACGAAAACAAGACATTGTCCGGATTGAATCTACGCCATTTGATGTACCAACATGGTAGCCACGCGTTTGTCCGACGGGCGGTGAATCAAGTGTACACGTTGTGGAGCGAGGGCAAGATCAAACCAGTGGTGGATTCAACATGGGCGCTGGAGGATGTGCCTGAGGCCATGCAAAAAATGCACGATCGCAAGAATATCGGTAAGATCGTGTTGGATCCAAGTCTGGAGCCGAAGCCCAAACCAGCTACGCCGGCTAAGGGCAAAGCGAAAGACAAGAAGGCCGCGAATCAGGAGGAGAAAAAGGCGTCTAGCGTAGAGTCGGAGGAAGGGGAAAAGAAAAAGGAGCCCGAGTTGACAAACGGTACCTCAGAAGACAAATCTGATAGCGGTAAGAAAATAGAATGTGACAAATTTATAAACGTTATCGTAGTAATATCATTACTCATTACGCATTAGTCATATTACTTCGCAGAATCGCTCGAGAATCAAAGAACTTGCATGTACTTCTTTGTTTCAGATTCGAAAGAAAAGGAATCTAGCTGAATTAGCGGTAATATAAAACTATAAGAAAGATACCCATAAACATCAAGAATTCCTAGGAAAGATCCATCGCTATTGTCCGAGAGAAGTCGAATTTGACTTGAGTAATCCATGAATAATATCGCGTAGAATTTATATGCAGATGATTTATAACGAGAGAAACTGTAATTCATATCGTATGACTTAATAGTATAATGGGGAGGAAAGATAATTCTTGGATCTGTTACCTATGCAGAACATGAAATTCAAAATCTGAAATTTAACGAGTAATTGATTGCTTGCACTGTAAGCTATACACTGCTTTCCTTTTAATATCAAAACGGATGCTCCTCCCTTTATCGTTTATCATCTGCATGTATCTATTATACTCATATATGCGCCGAGATTATAAGATCGTGCGAGTAACGAGTGAAGGCGAATCAACCAGCATATTGCATAAGGACGAGAGAATCAACCAAATAGAAATAACAATCTTGATGCGGTCCACAGTAGTTTACAGAATCTAAGAACGTTATGTTTATTTTTTCACACCGACCAAATGGTTAATTTTGCGAGGAGTTAAGTAAACAATTGTTGGATATCAGATAGTCATTACGCAGCTTGGCTTCTTTATATCGTTATCATCATCATTTTGGAAAACTGATCTAAGTTTTCCGTACTTATGGAACAATAGACCTCATAGAGACGACATAATAGACATGTAGGCAGTTTAAGAACTATACGTTGTCCAACAACTATCTACTTGGCTCTGTCTATTTGTATCGAATACTATCGCTGCTATTACGATATATACTAACACAATCTCTTACATTAATATAATATTACCTCTATTTGTAATTTAATGGGATAAATAACATATTGCGCTAGAATTTCTGTGAAGTTAAACACTGAACGCCGCGGGGCTGCATTACTTTCGTATGTAAATTTTATGTATTAAAGATGTTTTTATGCCACCTTATTGTTCATCGTGATGCTTTTGTCACGATGGAATATCCTTTTAAATTTTAACGATAGTCATGAAAGTCAAGAATAATATTTAGCATTACATATATGTGGAGCATTTCGCTGGGATTTAGACACTCTTTTTTCATACTCTTTCATACTTCGTAATTTTTATGTAAAATTAATTGTAGATTTCAGAATTAATTGTAGATTTTCCTATGCAAAAATTGAAAAGTTAAAAAAAAGATTACAAGTGTCTAAATGTAACTGCCTGAAAATCTATTGCAGTCTGTATTTTTCTATAATCGGGATTTTAATCTCTTTCTTCAAATCATTGTGTAATAATAACGATATGTACTGATCTCTGCAACGATATGTCAACGAGATGCTTTCGAGATATTTTAATTAAGTTTTGAAAATTCAACATAATGCAAAATTCAAGAAAAAAATGCACTATTTAATTATACAATTTTAGAAGAAATGCATTCGTTGATGTTTATCATGCGCTAAAAAGTTTGGATAACGATCAGATTTATAATATTTAATCTGAATATAAGAATTAACTGATGTATAACATGAATTAATTAAGCGAAAATGTAATTAGACTGACTAATCATGGCTTGAAATTGTAAAAGCCTAATATAGAGACATTACTTGGCACAAAAGTGCTTTGAGAATTATCTTAGCGAAGAGAATTATCTTGGCGTATTATTATTTCTACGTGAAACTTTCGAATCAGTTTTAACGAAAGGAGGAACACCGAACGTACATGCTCGTACAATACGCATGTCTCGTCGTTTTTATTCAGATATTCGAATCGATAATGTATTTTAAAGACTCCGAATAATATTTTATCGTTTAAATGAAATTTTATAAACATATTTAATAACGTTGCATCAACATATGTACATGAAGAGTAATTTAATGAATTAACATTATAGAATATATCGCTTCTTTTTTTTCTACGAGAAGAAACGACAGTCTGAAATACGCGTACAGGCCTCATTTTTTCATTATCGCATACTCGCGTGAAATACAATTGTGTCACTTAGACGCCAAACGCGTGACTGCGGTCCAACATGTTACGTTAAAATCCGCATTGCGGTCCTCTATTGCGATTTTTCCTTAACCTTCGAAGTTATAGTTTTTCAACCGCCGTGATACATAATACGATGTATCATTGGCTGTTTTGCGCGAGTAACGGCGAAGGACTTACTGTTACTGACAGCGATCTGTTGAACGAGATTTCGTAATAAATGAGAGAGCCTCATGAGAGAGAGAGAGAGAGAGAGAGAGAGAGAAGAAGAGAGAGATAGAGTCTCAAGGAGGTAAAGTAGAAGGAAGAAGAAAAAGAGATCTCGAGGGCGTGTCCCCGACGGAACGCGGCTCGGTGGTGGAGTTGGTCGATGCAGAACAAAGTGTGCATATCTCTGCGGAAAACGTTGGAACAATTTTGATGTAGCCGTTTCGTTAGGATTTGATACTAGCTCTGTATACCGATATCTATATTATACAAATCACATACGCGAGATGGGACGAATCATGCGAGGACGAGGGGGAAGGGTATGCGTCGACGATATCCCGCGCGCCTGATCCTCAATCGTGCGGGAGAGGCGCGCGGACGCGCCAAGAAATTAACTGCCGTATCGAATCTCTCGGTCCAGAAGTACATAATAAACTATCATACTCGTCGAGGAAAAAAAAAAAAACGTAATCAATCTGACACAAAAAGGGAAAAGACAAAAAAAAAGTAACTGCGAAAAAAAAACATGATAAATGTGGCTGCATATTTTGAGACATCTTTTAAACACGTAACGATATACACACGTAATCCCACACGAGACGAACACGAACACACGATATACACCCTCACACACGAAAATACGACACCAACACATCATACTGTATATTTTATTGTAAGGCTTTAAATGTTTCATCAAATAACTCTATTATATTATAATATATCTATATATTTGTATCGATCGTTTCCTCCTGCCCTAATTTCTTTCTTTTTTTT